TCTTCTTCTTCTTCTTCTTCTTCTTCTTCTTCTTCTTCTTCTTCTTCCTCTTTCTCCTCCTCCTCCTCTTTTTCTTCTTCTTCAAAAAGAACACACACCCCACCCCACCACACAAACACAGGAGCAGGGACAAATAAGTAGAGTTCTGACTTCAGTGTTCTATGACTGTGCTATGCTTAGCTGATACTATTCACTGAATATGGAAAAAAAATACAAGCCAGTGCATGCATTAATGTTCCTTGACCACAGCAGGTTGGCATTCACTCAAATGCTAAATGGGGCGCAAGGGTCTGGTTGGAAGCCCTGCATGGAAGGGCATTTTCAGCTCTAAGCATGGACTGTCCCCCAGCTTGGGGCACAGATCTGCTTTCGTTCCAACTCATGTTGGCAGACACTTGGGCCTGCCACACGTGGAAGGGACAGCTTAGGTCACATACAGGCATGATTTTTTGGCCACCTGAATCTACATGATGACCCCACAATTAGTGGGTATGATTTCTTTAGTTTTTGTTTTCCAAGGCTTAGAGAGGAGGCTGCTGGGAGTGGCTCTCTCAATGTGCAGTTAAGCTTGCGCATTTCCGTAAGAAGGTGGGTAGCCCCATGCCAGCGGTAGCTCAGTCACCAAATGATGATTGCAGACTGAGTTACAGAGGTGCAGGAGCTGACCAGTCTGTCTTTGCCTGTCTCCTCCATCCACACCCACACGGCTGCTTCAGCATACCTTGCTAGTTGTCAGCCGTGGTGGGAAAGGGGCTTCGCAAAGCCAGGGAGGGAATCAAGCCAGACGCCAGTGTGAACTCAGAAGTGGAGCCTGTCTGTTCTGGGGCTCTTGTCATCAACTTTTTCCAAGGGGTCATAGGATTTTGAGGGACTGCCTGCCCTCCACCCTCTTCATGAACAGGAGGGCTCCACACCTCCCTCTGACACCTGGAGAAGTTTTTTTGTTTTGGGGGGTTTTTTGTTTTTCTTTTTTTCTTTTTTTTGAGCATCACAAGGCAGCGATGAGCACTTCCTGCTCTTCAGAGAGAAGTAGCCTGCAAATAACTTTGAAATGTGTCCATGTTCAGATTTCAGAAGACACTGACACTTACCCAGATATTTAAGAGCAAGAAGGAAGGGGCATCTGTTTTCATTTGCCTCACAAAAATCCTTTGGAAGAAATTTCCCTGACATAGCTTAAGGCAAAGCTTTACAGGTTAAATTAGGTAACATGTATGTATTAAGACCCATTAGTTTACTTTTGGTGGCTTTTTGTCCAACTGATATTAATTTATTTTGTTTCTTTGAGAATGTAAATAGGCATGTATAGTTTGATGTTTTGAAGAACATGTGTGTGCTTATGGAAATTAACATAGTCAATTTTCTTCTTGTTTTGGAACAGAAATATGGATTTTATACTAAGGAAATGAAAACTACACTCTTAATTCATTCCTTCTCCTCTCCCTGCATCCTTACTGCTCCCCTTTACTCCCTTGCCTGGGCAGTGGGGTGCCAATGTACATACATGTGCTTGTTTAGCTTGGGCTGTGGGCCATCTCATTTGGAAAATTTATTTATGAAAGTATAAGCAAGAGGGGGCGGCGGGGACCTGTGGGCTGCAGTGGTTAAACTTGGCTGTGCCATCCCTGTGGGCCTCACTGGCTGAAGCTCATTGCCCAGTGTCTCCAGACCTCAGACACTGTGCTTGCTTTTTAAATTTTTTCTTCACTTGTTTCTTTTTCCTTAGTTAGAATGAAGTCTGTCTTCTTCATTCTGATATTCCTCTAAGAGCCAGCCAGCCTATCTGCAGACCTGCCTCCTCCCTCCCTCCCATCCTTCCTTCTTTCTCTTATGCTAGAAATGGACAGCAGGACCTTGTACATGCTAGGCACATGCTGTACCCCTGAACTGCACATCAAATCCCCCGTGACTTTTTGAGATGAAAATTTATTTTCCAAATGGCAAAGTGCCTTCAGTGCCACAGGAAAGCAGATAAGTGACACATTTGACGCTGGCTTTCGGGTTCAGAGTGTGCCCTTGTGCGGCTTGCAGTTTCTCCAATCAGAAGTGCCCACGTGTCGTCTCACCCCATTTTGGCGAGGTGTGTTTTTATAAGTGATCTTTCTATATGGATAGTCTCGCCTTCCATGAAGACATGTAAAGAATGTGACTACCCGTTCAAAAGGGCAGCAGACACCTAACCCTGAGTGGAGAAGCTGGACATGTGTGCATTTTGCTGTCGCCTTAGTTGACAGATATCCGTGTATCCTGAAGAGGTTCATTCATGCAGATCAGAACTGGAGTGGATTGTGTGATGACTTCATATGTCATGTTTATTTTTAAATTCTGAATGTAGTATGAACATGTGGCTGTATTTCTTTGCCTTATGAAGGTGTATTGTAAGTCATATATATGTATTATTTTGAAGAATAACGTGGATCTTATTTATCTTTGTTAATGCTCTAAATTATTCAATAAAGAAGCTTTGGTAAATGCAACACAAACCCCTTCCTTTTTGATAGGCAGATGATACAGGGCATTAAGATCTTTAAGGTACCTTAAAAGAGCTTCGTATTTATAGGAGTCCAGAACCATCTATGTGACTAGCAGACAAGCACACAGGAAGACATGGTTGTTCCAATGTTCAGCTCTTGTTCCCATTGCACCAGAAATATTAACCAGAAATGGTAGAGTAGAGGGAGCTGTATGATCTCTTCAAGACCCCTCAGCATCTGCTAGTGAGAACTCCCCACCATGGGACCTCAGCTGAGTGGCTGCCCTGCCATAGGATGCAGTATTGTCCTTTGGGGTTGAGGGTTGGCTCTGGAGATAGGACGGTTCAGCTCCCAAATCGGTGTGTGTGGCTAGGGCAATGCCAAGACTGGTTGAGGCTTGCAGCGATGTGCATCTTCTAGTTCCTCTGTTGCAGTGGGAAGGGGAAGCTTGTTCCCACCACAGTAATGGCACTCCCCTCTTGAGCCCAGTCTCTCCAGCCTGAACCTTCAGGCGAGGCGTCTGACTTGTTCCTCCAGAGGAAGGAAGCCACATTCACTCACCACATCAGACCTCATGGACCTACCCTTCCTCAGAAAGAAGTTCTCAGGGTGCGATCTCAAGGACCTGCCGCTTGGGGCTGAGGGCCAGGCAACTCCTGTCCTCTTTTGTCCATCTCCCAGGGTGAACTGGAGTGGACAGGAGGCCATCAGACCCTTCCTGCTTCCCTTTCTGCTCTCCACCAGGAAAGCGGGACACCATTCTCCTCATGGCCCTCGTTCTGAGAAGATGGTTCCTTGGGGGCTTCCTGACAGTGTTATCTTTCTACATCTCCTAATGTAGGTTTCCTCCTTATTTTCATTTTTCTCTGAACGTTACTAAGTATAAATACAGTTTTATACAAGAGTTTCCTTTGTGTTTAGCTGGCTCATGGGTCCCTCGATGATCACTGTTGTTTTTGAAAATGTCAAAAATATTCTTATACAAGTTTAGGTACCAACATGTCAGGGAGACTGGCCTGCTGTGGCAGGACAGCGCTGTCAATCACCTCCCTGCAGCTGCTCTGGTCCTTCTCAACTCTCAGGCACCCAATTAATGGTGCTGCCACCAAACATCCCTCCAGCAGAGACAAGCTGTCAAGGACACAGTGCTGAAATCTGCCCTGGAGACCCCATCTCATTAAAACAATGGGCACAGTCAGGTAGGAGAACTGAGAATAGTCACCACACAGTGCTGGCCTCATTTCCTTTGCTCAGAATAATTTCACTAAGCAAAATAGGGACATGACAATCATTGCAATCTTGTCTGGAGCGACTGAAAGATTCCAGGAGTCAGATGCCAGTGAAGGTAATAAATAGATCCCCCCTCATCCCCACAACCTGTCTTCTAGGCAGGATTTGACACAAGGATAGCAAGGTTTAGGCTGCATTAGGAGATATATACAAATGGTGACTAGAAAATACACTTACGGACAGACAAACTGCTATGTTAGTCTGGGAAAGCCCTCACTTTGTAGCCTTTTAGGGCCTTTGAAAGTTCAAAGGAGGGTTCACCCAACACCAATATGACAATATCTACCTCTAGTGAAGTTACAGTCATGATTGAACCTTGGTTCATTCAACTGTCTAGCTGGATCAACATCCTCAATGAATGGCTGAACAAAGGAGCAATGGAATTAGAAAGCCTGAGAGCCACTCTTGAGAGCATAGGCTCTGGTCTTTCAAGTTCTTTATTACTTAGCCTGAGATGGCTGTGAAGCAGCATGGCACATGCCTGTGGTCCCCACTGCGTACGAGGCTGAGGAAGATGATCGATCACATGAACCTAGGAGATGACGAGTAAGACCACGATATCCTATTATATTAAAGT